AAAAATTGATTTTTTTCTTTTAAAGATATACGAAAATTATGTTTTGGGGGGCCAACTTCACACTAGCCCCCCAATATTAAAAAATTGATTTTTTTCTTCATGCATTCGTTTGCTCATCGTTTGCTCATGAATGCTCAGTTGAAATTTTCGTTTGCTCACCCTTAGTTCAAAAGATACAAGAAAATTAAGTTTTGGTATCGAATTAAAAAATCGATTTTTTTCTTCATGCATTCGTTTGCTCATCGTTTGCTCACAAATCGTTTGAACTAAGGGTGAGCAAACGAAAATTCCAACTGAGCATTCGTGAGCAAACGATGAGCGAACGAATGCATGAAGAAAAAAATAGATTTTTTAATATTGGGGGGCCAGCTTCACATAGGTCAGAAAGTAATAAAAAGTATTTTCAATTTTCGATAAATTTTGTGTTATTACAAAATAGTTAATTTACATGGTTAAGCTAAATATTTAATGCTGAAATAATTCTGTGTGAATTTATATAGTATATATTCAATTTTTCAAAATGAGTTTTCCCATTAAATGCACACTTACATATATGTGAATTATTATGAAAAATATTACTAAGACCTCGATCTAAAAGCTTAGGACGCTTGCACTAAATACAGGTATCCAGATTCGATCCCCGGTGGAGGTAATATATTTTTTGCAACAAAATTATTTACAGATTTTGGAATGCTTATCAGTATCAGAATATTAAGATAATAGCTGCGTTTAACAGAGAAAACAATTTTGTAACTGTTATAAAATTTTTCATTATTGATTGATATATATGTTTAGATCTGGAAGGAACAAAAACTAAGAACCAATCATATTAAAGAATTATACAACAGTTGCAAAACTGCTTTCTCTACTGAACGCCGCCAATCCAAAATGCCTATGAACACCAATATACCTATTATAATTAAATCATTTGTCAATTTAATTTGTGATATTATTATTCTATTATAGTTCTGTTAGAATTGCGTTTCAAAACTGAAAATAAATTTGGTACGCAGTTTATGAAATTGAATGTGAGTATATAAATTCACGAGTACATAATTATTCTAGCATTAAATATCCAGCTATTTATTTCCGATTCGTTGTGTGGTTACATTGCAGTCTTATAAGACACTTTGTGTTATATATTTTATTGAAATGTTATAAGAGAAAACACTAAACTCTATATTATTTAAAAATTAAATTTTATATTATGTGCTTATTTTCTTTTCTTTTAAATTAATAACTACATTATTTATATAAAAGTGTTTATACAAGTCCAATTTATGAGTATTTTATTGAAAGTGTCAAATGTACGAAAATCTTGTGTTACGTTAATTAAGACCTATTTCCTTGTACGTAAAATTTACATATTATAATACGTATCAATAGCAATAATATCAATATCGATAGCTATAGGATTAATTAAAATTTCCTTTATTTATATAATATAGATAGTTAATGTAATAGACCGATATAAAAATCTTGTTAAAATGAGCATTACATAAAAAAACGTCTTTATTATGGTCTACATATTCGTTTATTATGTAGATTTGGAACGTTGATTAATATTACCTCGATCTATACGCTGCTCCAATATGAATTCGTGCGAATAAAGTGCATTATATTATTAACCTATCCTCGAAACCGCGCAGCTGCGTATCGGCTATCTGTCAATAAATTATTCAACAAATTGAAAGAGTCCAGCTTGATAAATAACAAATTTTATAAGAGTGCTACTTGCAACATCATGTTTTCTTGTAGGTTTGCCAATACATGTAGTTAAGATACTTATCGAAATAAACGATGGTATTCAAAAATAGATTATGTATTATTATTATGAATGTATATATGTATATTTCAGTTATTTCCTAATATACAAAATGTTGCCTTATATATGTATATTCACATTCAGTAGTAATAGTAAAGTAATTTTTATTTCAGTTATTTCCTAATATACAAAATGTTGCCTTATATATGTATATTCACATTCAGTAGTAGTAATAGTAAAGTAATTCTTATGGAAACTTATGATTGAATTGGTAAAAAAAAAAACATTTGAAATGCATGGGCGAATAGTATATATTTCTCATTCAAATAGTTTTCCTAATTATTTTCAATAGCTTTTTCGCAACTCTAATAATATTTATCATTACGGAACGTATATCACAGCCATTAAATACGCTCTCATAATGTATATGAGGTTGTTGCCAAGTACTGCTCTAAAATTCCATTTTGCTTAATAAATTTGAAAGTTTTGATTGACTATCTTGAAAACAGTTTATATGCTAAGTAACAGCTCTGTCTTACATGATAAGACGAGGATGAATCTTTTATTTCAATTTAAGTTTAATTTGGAAATTTCTGCTATCAACTTTCTACTAAATACATCTCGAATATTATAGCATTTGAAAATAATTAAGATTTTAATTAATATCGATGATTTGTTCCATATATAAAAATGTATGGAAGAATATAGAATTAAAAGAATTAGAATTTAACGCTGCAGCGCTAATGAATTGACAGTGAAGTGTCCTTTAGAAGCGCTTTTCTTCCTTCTGGCTCAATATTACCGAGAAGAATCTCACAGCTGTCTGTGATTTTTCAACTGTTCTTCACTAGCAAATTGGTTCAAATAAAAAGAGTAATGTTATAAAAAAGATACAATCAAAATCTACGAATAGAAAAAGGAAGAAAAAGAGTCGAGGATGAAATAAAAAGAAGATGAAAGGTACATCAAGGTGGAAGCACACAAGAAGCGGAAAAAAGACGTTCCTCTTCATCAAAAATCAATTCCTTAAGGACAATAAAGTGGCTATAAACTCAGAAGATAGTATCGACATTATGTGATATACGAACGAGATAAAAATTATAGCGACGAGGAGACATTGCAGCGCCCCGTTGATATCATGAAATCCAAAATTAATTATAGCCAGCTATGTGTACCCAGCATTTTCAGGAATTTTCAGGAACCATGAACGAAACTGCGAAAAGCTTGCGATGAAAAAGTCGAGCTGGATTATCTCGCGACCAGCATAGACGTTGGATGCAAACAGAGTAAATAATTAATCACCGTCCGCCAGCTGCATAAAAGATAATTTACTTCGCAGGCGGGGTGGTTTGACGCAGCATCAGTGTGATCAAATGCTGCAGCCAAAGAAAGAGACAGCTAGACTACGTTTATAGATATCGCGCATTCGTGATGTTCATCAAATTTAGTTTTCCGAAAACTCGAATGACGTGTATCACAAATGTGCGCAAGCATTTCGTTTCCCCTTCGATTTTATTCCATTATGTCAGATCTATGATATTAAGACAAGGAACAACATTTCGATATGCCTTCCATCTCGCTGTCAAAGAAAACAAGTATAGAAAAAAGAGCAAAGCAAAGGGAAGGAAAAATAGTGAGGAGATCGCGATTCCAGAGTGCATCTTTCTACTTTCTCGATTTTCTCGAACTCATCTTTATCGCGTTCCTATCTACCCTACAGCAGCCTCCTTTTACCCGCCTATTCCACATTCTTATTCCCACACTGTACTTTTGCCTTTTTTTTTTTTGCACCCGAGGGAGACACGGAGCACCTTTTTAGGAAGATAAAGACGAAGCAGTTGTCTGGCGCGCGGATGCTCGCCTACGAAGCAGTCAATGCATAAGGAGACGAAACGACAATAGCAGCCGCTGCATTCTCGAGTTTCTGATCTACTGATTGCTCACTCATGCGATCCGATTGGTAATATAGCGAAAGAATCTGTAAATCGATCTACCGTATACGAGTTATTTATGCATAAAAGTGACGCGTGCGCGCGCGGGAATCAATTCTCCAATTGTCATGAATTTAATCCCAAAATATTAATAACGATTGTTCCGCTTGCACACAGTTTTTATAATTAATATGAATAAAATAATAACGTTGACTATCGTAACGCATATTTCTGTATTTTACATTAAACATAAAACCATATAAAAACTAAATATATTATTTAATATATCAGAATTACAATTTTAAACTTTAAAACATTAATGAGAACTTTTAAATGATAACTGCAACTGTGGGTACAAGCATGACAAAAAATATTAATAAAATTCTTTCAATTTAACTTATAAATCTCCAATTTGGTTCATATTGGTAAATAAAATAAAAAATTTCTCTACACAAACAGCTGACAACATCGCTCGAATTTTTCTTGAAAATTTCATTGCAAAAAGCTTTCCTAATTTCTTGTATTTCATGCCAATTGCATTTAGAATATAATTACTAAGCTTAACCGGATATACTCACTTAAATTTTTATTGCATTCTTTCCCTTTCATGCATGTTGCGACGGCAGATGTATTTTTTATTAGCGATATTACAACGCATCCTCGTAAATGGAAAGACCGCAGGCGATGAAAAAGTAACCGGTGTAGTTATTGATTTTCTGTTAACTGGCTATTTCGCCGAGAGAATTACCGCGAACGCATTTTCAACGTGTCATTTGCTCCAACGTAACATGAAGCTACGAGAAGATGCATAGAAGAATCTGTGCACGTAACCGAGTATTTATCGTTTACGTAACATATATATTCGCGTATGCTTAGTTACATAATTGAGAAGACGTACCTTTACCAAAAGCTAAGAATCCTTGCTTTGTCGAGTAAGATTAATTCTTATATTTATTTTACCCAACAACCATTAAAGGTACAAATGCACCAGTCGTAAACATTGATAATGGATAACATCCATTACAGTACGTTTCTCTTCTGCCAAGTATACAAACTGTTATCAAAGAGGGTTTTACTTAGCAAGAATTTTAAACAAACAATTTTACAAAAAAAAAAAAAGAAATTTATGCGCAAATAAATAACATCTTTTATATGTCCTACATATTTGTTGCCTAATTTTAATAAAGTCTTCTTTTTAAAATATTTAAAATATTCGAGTCTTAAAATTTTAAATAAATTACATAAACAATTTCTTCTCAAATTAATAGAACAAGGAAAAAACAAAGAAACTTGATTGAACTTACCAGTTTCAACCACGCGTTGGTCGTAAGTATTTGATTCTTTTCATCCTGCAAAAAAAGTGCAAAACATTGTTACTCATAGCACTTTAAAATTATGCAATATATGTATTGTATTGTGTCGTGTATAATTATAATTCTAGATGTATAACATGTTTTATGATATTTTTTTTCGTATTAAACTTAATAACTTTTGATTCAATTGTAATATAAGGATATTAGGTTGTATATAATTACATTTTTCTTTGTTAAAATAATATTTATTCCTTAATTTATAATTTTTATTATTTTTCTAAGTTTACTTACTAATAATTATGTTTGTTATATCTTCTTTTATTTATTAAATTTCTTATTTATTAAAATATTATTTCAATAGTACAAATGACATGTTCAATGATGATATTATTAATGTTATGTTATTGATATGTATACATATATATTGGAAAAAAGTCTGATTGCATTAATTAGAATTCTCCTGGAAAATAGACAGAATTTTATAATTGAATCTATTATAGTTCTAGTGGAGATAACTAGGTATCCAATTATAATAACTGTAATTTTGGTTGATATCAATGATTATATAATCAGAATATATTGGCTTGTTTATTTTCAATAAATATATAAATTTTTCTCAGTGTATATATATCTTTAAATATAACTCGTAACACATCACATAGGGTAAACTTTCATAGTATTTCCATACGGAAAAGAGTCATAAGCTGTAATTTCTCCAATAATTGCTAAATAGTGCATTTTTATAGTCTCTCTAAGACTAAAACATAATCAATATTTACAGTAGTTTATGTGCGTACGTTATTCAAAATAACTTATTATTATGAAATATTATGTAATATTTTTACTTTTGATAAAAGCTGTTAGAATGTCGAATAAATTACAGTTAAGCTATGGAATCAACATTACATATACATAATAAAAATACGTAAAAATATGTAAATTGTAATGTGACTTATAATTATTATACTATATATATATATATATATATACCACATTATCGCAACCATCTTTTCCTTAAAATTTAGATAAGATGATTAATATGCATATATTATACTATTTTAATAATATATTTTTGTTAAGCAATTTCTCCTTAATTTCGATAGTATTTATTATTTTAATAAAATCATTGGTTCTTATCGGTATTAATTTGGTTTAGTATTTTAAGTTTCATCGAAGTTATGTATTAAACATTATTGAAAAATAGTAATTATAAAAGCAATAAGATTAGAATCATTACAATAATATATGAATATATCAACTAAGTAATGTACTAAGCGCCCCTTATTAAATACATAATAAATAATATTAAATAGTAATAAATATAATTTTTTATTTTCTTTTATTGATAAAGATTTCGAGTTATATCTTAGTAACAATGAGTCTGTGGTTATATAAACTTTTTCTCATGTTTGATATGAAGAGCTTGGCTCTGAAGTCTATTACCTTATTTTGTTACATCCTGTACACGTACTTTGGTAAATGAATTTATCTTATTGTTTAGAAATAGAATAGAAATATGACTGCGCGCCGATTGCTTTCAAACTTTTAAGACAATCACACAATCTGAAATAATAATAATAATTCCTCCTAAATTTAATTAGACATATCTTAAAACCTGTAAAAATTTATTGCAAAAAGAAAATTATGTTTCTTTCATTTTGAAAAACTATATGATTATATGGAGTTTTACTCTATCTGTCTCATTCACATTGACGTGTAAATTCAGTCATACGTTTCACTCGATGCGAACAAACAGCATGTATATGGCAAATATTTATTCACAAAATGAGTTGGACGTGCGATTTAACTTCAATAGTGCGCGTTCGATAATGCTATTGTGCTCATATAAAAAAACTTCAAAAGCACTAACAAAATTTGATCATATTGTTTAAATATTCAAATTGTGTTTAATGTAAAATTTTAATATAACAAATCAGATCAATGTTACAATTTAATGTATAATAGATATGTAACATAAGTAGGAATACATATATAATAACTTATATAATATAATTAAATTAAGAATTATTGAACTATGAGAGATATAAAAATTAAAATGAACAGCTATAAGTTATATAAAATTGTTGTAATAGAGATTTTCAAACAGAAAATATAATATTTTATTATAATGTATGCGCTAGAGAGAGGTCTTTGTGCTGTGAGAAACCTTATACAATTGCTTTATCCGGTCAGATTGCATATAAAATATGCAGCACTAAGAAAATCTGTAGTATCATGACAAAGGAAAAAGTAACGACAGGAAAATGCGATTCAATCGTAAGAATTCTTTAAAAAAGATAATCAATAACAGCGAATTGCTGGCTGCAAATTTTCTCTCTGGTTTTAATCGAGTTGAAAAGAATGGTCCTCTCATGCTGTGTTATTGAGAGTTTCGGAGTAATTTACAAAACAAAATAATGTTTTTGGTATCGTTGCCGACATATAAACTCTATACTCCTATAGGCAGTCGCATTAATTGAATTCTCCGGATGCATTTCGCGTTACTGTAAAACGTTACGTTGTAAAACGAGAATAAATTGATGAGTAGCGCACTTTAGAGAAGATCGAAAAGAGTGAGTATGAGTGAGCAGAAAATATTTTCTATCTGAAAGTCTTCTCTCGCAAAAAATGTATAACATCGAATGAAAAATAGAACGCAGGTACAAGTTGTGTAGATGTGTTCTTTACATTGTTTGTTAATATAATCAAAATCTACTAGTATGTTTGATTAATATATAAAGCTATTTTATATAAGTATGTCACCGCTTATACTGTAGTATAAATGCTTAAGTGATTGTAAAAAAAATATTGCAAAATTTAATTTAAAAAGGTAAAAACTAATTTGAAAAGTTAAGAATTATACGAAAAAGGTGCAAATTTAAGTTGCAATCTTCTCGTTAAGCGATTCGAATAATATTCAATCAAATTTGTATCATTAAATTTTATTTGAAAAATATAATACATGTGTTTTCAGTAAGAAAACAAAAATTTGGTTTTACCGTCCATAAAATTATATTTTGCACTAAAAAAATATAATTTTAAAAAATTTAATACTTATGATTTAAAATAATTTTTAATTTGTTCATATTGTTGTGATTTACAAAAGATACCAAAAAACTTGTAAGAGATAAACTTCCAGTAAAAGCGCAATAAGTAAACTCAAAAGAAAATGGTCGCAGTTTTTTGTCAAATGTTCTTTTCTGTTTTCTTGTTGTGCAGTATGAAACTTAATGGCGAGGATTTTGCGTGACAAAGATACCGGTCGTACGACTCGCACATCTCTCTTGCAGTCACGTCTTTTCGCGGCGCGCTTCCGCTTCCGCTACGTCAACGTTCTTTATGTATGAGTAACACGGACGCGTTTTGTCACGACTGACTCATTGGCGCGACATAATTGCACCTTGCGACAAAGACAAAAAACTTACGGCAGTGTGCAATGTTCGTTATTCGTAACGTTGACTTGAGTAAAAGCAAATGAAATTACAAGTAATGTTACGAATTAATGTTTGCTGCATCGCGAATTATGAGACGATCGGTGATATTAACAAAGTTATTGTAGAGTCGAAATAAATATTATAACAAATAAATAAAAATTAATTTCCTTTTTTAGAATAAAGATGAGAGAGAGAGAAAGAGATACATATTTTCAGACAAAAATAATTTTTCCGAAATGTCTAGAAATTCTTCAGTTTTTCGTAAGAGACAGTCTTTTACTCAGGGTGTTTTATACGTAATATATTTTGCGTTACAAACTGTCGACATGATATAACAATCTATCATGTGCGCTGTGCTCAGCTCAAAATGAAATCCGGCAAGCGGGATGAATAGAAAGTGTGAATTTTGCGGCTTACTTTGCCGTCTAAAATAATGCGAAATTGGCATACGAATTCTTCATGACGTCGACATTATTCGACAGAATTTGCGGAGATACACAAAATGTGTGATTTCTGATCGATGAAAGTCCAAGAGTTTCATTTCGCGGCCAACAATGGTAGCTAACAATACTGCATTTCTTTCGTTTCTCTATGAATGAAATATGTTACGGATTGAATTTTTATATCGATTTTATTGCACGGGGAGACCGTCCATGAAAGAAGCCGTTCACGTTAAATAAATATCTATCTGCGTATCGTTACACAATTTATTCATAGAGAGGCGCAAGAAATCTTGATTAAAGATTGCATTAAAAGAGTGATTAATCAAGATAATTAACGTCATCAGGCGCTGACAAAGTACATAAACATTCGTCAAGTGGAAAGGCGAGATCGTTTCGGAACAAGAGTTTCTGCAATATACACTATGATTAATCGATCGAATGTGTCGTGCGATGCAAAAAGTTCGACGACGCGTGTACTTTGACCGTATAATGCACAAGTTGCATATGTGCATTATATAAGCAAAACCTTGAACCTGTCACTAATAATTTACAGTCGCTATATATTCTGTTATTTTGCATTTTCTCGCATTTTAAAGAAGAAAGCACGAAAACAATATTAAATTTGAACTATTCTTCGATATTATTTTTCACTATTTTTATTTATAACGTGTATAATTTATGGGTTTCATGACAAATAATATATTATATTTTGACGGCAATAAACAGAAAAACAGTAAGGAAGATGAAAATACAATAAAAATATCTCTCTACGTGAGACACACAGGAGATGTGTCTTGCTCGATTGCAGCAGAAGTGAACCAAACAGTAGTGCGACTCGAAGTCATATCGGCCCTGAGAAGTAGAAAAAGTCGCGACTAAGCGCGACCAAATGTTTACGACTTACCGTACGTAAAAAGTTTATAGTACGCTGAAGAACTTGGAAACGAAATTAAGAAAAGCGTGACCGTTGCCTACGATATCAGGTATATTTCAATGTATTATCGAAGTGGTATAAAACTTGCATGACATTTATAGTAATTGTCATAAACATCACATTCGTATTATATAAATATATAATGTAACAATAAAACAGTTCAGAGTTAATATTTTTCGCGTAAATAATAGTGTTGCTTCATGCTCTTCGGCTACGCAAAAATGTAATTAGTTTCATCTTACAACTTCTGCGAATGCCGAAACTTCTGTTGATCTTGTTTCGCCATCGCGTTCTCTGATTTACCCAATATACGGAATTAGGTTTCTGTCATTATAAACTTTTCTACTTATGTGACCAATTAAAGGGTCTCCGCTTTTACGAAAGATTTCGCTTTCCAATTTCAACATCTAATAAAAGTTTAAATTTAATGTATTAACGAAGAACTTTTTTGGCTGGTATTCTAGTATTTATTAGATTACGTGGAGTACTGTTTTAATAAAGGATGTAATTGAGATTAAAAGATTAAGAAACATTTTAAATTTAAAGAATAAAAAAAAATTAAAAATATTATATTAATGTGGGGATGAATAAAGATAACTTTGTTATAAAATTTTTGTATAAAACGTTTTTTAATATCCTGAATAATTTTGAAAACATAACAAAAAACAATTAAAAATCTTACCCGTAAAAAATTATTTTATCTCATTTTTTCACACCAACTAATATTTTCTAAATTATTCTACGTAACGTATATATGTATACAACAGTTCATAAAATTTAAAACGCAAAGTGTCCCTTGTGTATTTTTTTGCTGGATCCATATTTAATGTGGAATCTATGATAAGCTTCTGTATAGTTTTTGCCTCTTATATTGATAGAAGCTCAATGAAAATACTTCGATGGTTAATGCGTTTATATTGATACTTATGAACTGGTTTATATGGCAACTCAAAATTAATGAATCTTAAATATCTGATCCTAATTAGAAAAACAATCATCAAAACGAAAGAAGAAATAAAATATATAACGGTTTACTTTCAACACAATCCTAATGGTCGTATGTAAATATTACAGTGTATTAATTAAACACAGAGTTATTAATATTCTTAATATGATTAATTCAATGCTAGCTTTATTTGCTTTACAAACTAATTACCTAAATCTCACAAATTTCGAAACATAACATAAATACAATTTAATATAATAATTCCAAAATTTTTTAAATTAATTTTTATATAATTTTTAAGAGCGTTTAACATTTATTTTAACTTCATTATTTATCGATAACAAGTGATAACAAAATAACTATTCAAGATACACTTTTGCATGTTACTAAATGTTTTCAAAAATAATTACGAAAATAATTTAAACAGTGAAATTTGTAAAATTTCTAAATTATTTAAATAATAATAATGTCATGCGTATTTTAATTATAAAATATTAAATAACGAGTTGTAACGTCAATTATAATGTATGAACTGTATAAAAAAATAATTTAAGGATTTTTTATTCGAAAGTAATAGAAAAATTTGTGCACTGTAAGATTTATGAATTAATTCATTAACGTTGCCGAATTTTTTGTCGCAATTCACGCTGAATAAGAAAACTACAGCCGTCGTTTCCAAAGGCAACGATATTTTGAAAAGAGCAACGGCAAAAACCACAGTCAGTTGAGCGATGCGACTTAGCGAAACGACGACGCAGACGTAAGGGTGGCGAGCAGGGGTTGTAATGGAATATGTTTTGCTACTAGAGAGAAGAAAGAGAGTTCGCTCTGGAAATGTCTGTGCTCTTAATGTCCAGAACACATAGCGGTCTTTTGTTTTTATAGAAAATATATCAGATTGTATGAACTTCTAAAGGAAAAGCTATGGCGGAATATAACGATAGCTGTAACAATGAGAATAATAATAATAATGATGGGGCACGAAACCGAATAAGAGAGATAAAGGCTCGTGTTATCCGGATAATCATATCCTTTGTGAATAAATAAAAAGAATGCCAACGACATGCGCGCGGCTCACGTTTGTTGTAAACAGTATGTATTTTACGCAGTACTTTTTATAATTGAGTTGCATCAACCTTACATTTATATTCATATTAAAACTTGAAAGGAGCTAAATAGTAAAGAAAAATATCTAAGTAACCTTTATTATTCAAAATGAAAGTGAAGTATTTGAAAAGGATGTGCATAAAACGTTGTAAAATCTTATAGTCTTCATTGCGAGAGAAAAGTATCAGAAGCCTGTGATATAAAGAGGCTCAGCGTGACGGATATATTCCCTCGGCCGTTAACTCTGACCATAAGGATGTTTTGAGAGGAAACACCTCCAATCGGTTTCTTTAATCCCGGCTATATATTACTTCCGTCAGGTTGGTGGAACCAAAGTGGATTGCAAGTATCTCGACGTATACTTTCACCCAGTCAATTTATAATTGTAATCGGGGATCGGGGGAAAAACTCCCGCACCGTAAATTCTTAATAAACGTTTGAATGCTATCCATTCGTTATATTCATCAAATATTGATCAATCGGAATGTTATTTATATACGAATCACGATAATGCTCACAACTAGAACGCTATCGACTTATTCTCCAACTGGTCTACGGGGATCATTCGATACGCCTGCAATTTCAAGCTTGGCCGATATAATATGCATGCATCAGAAAGTACCAAGATACGAAAAAGATATACACGACGTTGCAATCGATGAAAATTTAATATGTACGATTGCTACGAACGGAAAGTTATTTAGATAGGATTTATTAATATTTTGCCGTGCACGCAGAAAATATATGTATTCTACTTTTCTTGCCAAGAATTGACATCCGCCTCAACGTGTTTTTCATCCAAATCGAAACATTTCAACTTAAATTGTTTCTCATCTATAATGCAATATATCCGATATGAGAATGTTCGCGTAATAATTTCTAGTTTTCGAGCAAAATTAAATTACAATTTTATATTTTTTTTCGGAACTCATAATATAATTCGTGGAAAAATCAAATGAATATCCGTCGAAACATTTCGCAGAACAAAAATTGCCTTAAATACGATATAATAGCTGCACCCTGAATTTTTTTTGTTTTGCCACAAATGCGTTTTCAGATCTTTTCTTAAGAACCGTAACGTTTGCACTATATACCGCGTATATAGATGGTTTATGTTGGATATAATGCTGACGAAAGTAAATATAACCACGGTAAGGGGAGTGCGAAGATGGAGAACGTAATGCAATCTTACCTCATTCGTCCCCGCTTAACCATACTCTCATTTAGATAAGCCCGATATTTTGACGTACAAAAACTTGCGCGGCTAATCTTGGCACTTCTTATCTCGAGAGTTCACACGGAGGCTGCGGAATAGTCGCTTCATAATGGATATTCACCTTTAAGATTTGAAATACATCCGCGAATTCGCGCTAATCTTCACTATACTTAAAATGGCCCACCCAACTATGGTTAAGATAATCAACTTTATATGCAGTGTTGGAACATACCTAGATACACAGATATAGTTACCTAAATTGAGATCTTTCCATATTTAAATAGTACTTAGGTACAGTATGCAATTTCCACTAAAGTATTTAAGTACCCAGATACTTCCAAGAGATAAATTAATTTTAATCGCTAAAAATATGTACTTAGATATTTCAAAAAAAGTATTTAAGTGCTTAGATACTCTAGCGAAAATTACATATCGTATCTAGTGCTTTAATACAGAAAGATCTCGAATTAAGTACCTGCATATTTAACAATATATTCCAACATTTAATATGTTATTATACGCTATCAAAAAATATTAGCAATATTACATATTCAACTAATCATTGTCAAATGTATATTCTGACTTTAATCATGATGTATTATAAATAGTTGATATAACGATTTCGATAATGATGTCATAAGTAAATGTGTTCTGAAATTATGATGTGTTTGTGTTTTGTATGTCTTATGTCTCTAAAACGACTTCTAGTTAATATTACTGCACAATATTATTGATTGTCTGGACGCTATATTCAGCTTCAGATTGTTTTAAATTGTTTAAAGGGATTCTAAAATTGTCTGTTTTATCAAGTGCAATAATTTTTATTCCAATTTTTAATACCAATTTTCCGTTCATATTGCTTTTATAGATGCAAAAAAATCCTTCTACAGAATTGAAATATAGATAATAATACAGTCCAGATTGCGTATAATTTTCATTTAAAAAACGGGAAAATTACAGTTTTATAAACGACTTCTAACGTTGATTTGTAACAACATATACTTCGTATAAAAGTTTTATATTTCATACGTATAAAATAAGCTTTACTTGGATTAGGGATTACATAAAAAATAATACTGTACTTTTATAGAAATGAACCTATAAGAGCTTCAGTATAAGAAAAAAGATGGAATAAAAATTATATGTACATATACGACATACTGTCGATATTCCGTAAACCGTACGTATGTATTACAAAGTCTATGTATATAAATCGGTAAAATATGAATCCCGTCAAAGTTTAGTCTTCAATTTAAGATTCCTTATTAAAGGAGGGATCAATATAATTGTACAAATAATACTGAACGTCTAGGGGCCGCTTAAAATATACGACGAAAGAGTTGATTTGATAACTTACCACGTCGATGATTTGCTGTAGAGTGATGCCAAACTTCACCTCCAGTGGTTCGCTCTCATTCGCGACCGGTCGCTCCAAGGTGTTGTAATTTGCGAGCAGGTGATTCAGTAAGCGTTTCTCGTGGCGCCCGCAAAGGCTTTCTGCAATAAAGATGAGAAATCGAATGTCAGTCAAGCCTCGTATGTTATTCTAGAGGGTGAGCCGCAAATAATATTGTGACCCTTGTCAATGTGTATTTACGAACAGATCCGAAAGAAAAGATTCTCACTTCGTCGACAACAATCTTGTGTTGTCACGAAAGGTACGATAGAAGTCAATTTAATTATTTCCGTTACATGAGCAGAATAAACAATGTTGGGAATGATTTTCTAGTCGCTGTTTTTTGTTCTCAAGTACTCAGCAATTCGCGTCAAAAAGCAATTATTTACGCAGATTTTAATACTGTTAAAAGCTGCAAAGCAGTTTTTCTCTCATCGATTTTAATAAATATATTACGGAATCGCTGTAGCAGTCAATCCATAATTGATAACTTCTATATATTAAATTTAATCGGATTAAAACACAAATCTATTTTAAATAGGTATAGAATTAGACCATTCTCTTTTCAGATATAAATGTTTCAAAAACAAATTATTATATATTTCCTTGTTAAATATAAAAACTCACTGCGCTAAATAATTAAAATGTAATTAAATACAAAATAGACTCGTATATATAATTAAAATTGTCCGAGAGAAGTTAATAAATATTGTAGAAATGAAAGGTTGTAGCATTACATATCACTCTTCGAGTAAAATATTTTACATTCAATCGTCGCAAGTAATTCAGTAAATAAATAAACCCATAATTTGTTCTTAAAGCCTTTGTAAATGTTAATGTCACTCGCTAGTGATCATCTTCAGTTCTAGTGCACTGAGGTGGATGAATTAATGTACGTCGACGATTATAAAGTTCGCTGGTTTCCAACTTGCACGAGCATCGATGGAGAGCTCCGAAGCCGTCAGGGACCAAGCTTTGGTCTACTTTCCCGTTCAATTCCAGTCCATCCGCGACCGAACGACAGCGCGAGCAAACTACTTTAATCCTTCGACAAACACGGCGCGAATGCATTCCGTTCCCGACCATTCTGGGCCAGATTGTATACTCGAGCACGTGCCGCTGTGGGATCAAGTTTGGGCTCCAAGCGCGGTGTGTGCCCACGCCACGGAATACGAGATGCAACAGGACTGCGTCCAAGGAGAGAATAATGGTCGTCGGCCCCGCTGAATTCGGCGCACGTGCGCCCATTCAAGACAAGGGCTGAGGTATCGTGAGGTCGCGACAAATATACTGTGCGCCGTGAAACGTTTACTGCAGCGCGGAACACGATCTATCGTCTGGTTCAAATATTTCGTGATTGCATTCCAACTTCTCCTCCTTGCTTCGTATTCCCCTTAGGTATATTAATATTCTGAGTTTGAGCGGGGTACCGGGGTAGGTATATCTTATCGGGTCTGAACTTCCTTGCAGAATTCATCGCTTCATCATGTTACGAATTCCGTTGGCCGATAATCACGTATCTATACTTCGTACAACTCGATTCGCTTGAAACTCGGGGTCGTTCAGATTGACAAGGGAACATTATATATGCGTAATACAATATTCCGTTTGCATACAATTAAAGTCTTACGACGTATAATGATTAATTTGATATTGTTACAATTGAAATGTATTTCTTTACAATAAAAATTACACTTAGTTTTTGGACGATATTGCTACATTTTTAATAAATTATAAAGTAGATTGGTTGATATACGAATTTATATCAAAAGTCTGATTTCTGTTTTTTGATTTGAGACTTTTTTCCTTTAAAGTAAATCTATTTTTTTTCCATAAAATATAAAGACCGAAGAAAAGAGACTGTCAACAACCGACCAAATTGTATAATTTAAGAAAATTGTAGATGAAACCAAGACTCATTAGAATATATGGAGAAAATTTTCTCATCACAATTTTGGCATTAGATTTTTTAAACTGTATTAAAATGATAGAGAAAACTATTCTCTACGTTTTCATGTCAGGAACGGTTCTGTATATTGTACAGCTTTTTTGTAGTGAGTGAAATACGAACATGCTACATTATGAACTGACTTGCTTCTATAATGGAACAAATTATCACTGTAAGTTGCCTACACGACAAACTTTATATTAAAGTCGTAATAAGAAATAGATCGCAGATATGTACTTCCTGAAAAATTGGATCTTTTAAAGTTACTTTGCAATAATTAAATAGCAAAATGCTGTAACAGACAAACAAATATAAACTATTTTAGTTGTACCTTATTATTAATATAGAAATATTAAATATAAATTTTATCAGAGTTAAGTTGTAACTAAATATATGAGTCAACATATTCCCTCTATATATATATTTATGTCTGATTTCAATCATTTTATGATAATAAATTATTGTTATTACTGAAAATACATGGTAACGGAAACTTTTCTTTTAATTGATATGTCACGTAGATTTAAGACCATGGTACATAAAAAACTTAAGCAATAAAACATAAGCAGTAAATGATTTTATTAATTATAGTACAGACTGTAAGGACATAACGTAAAGTTAGCAAATCCAACATATTTCATTTTTTTTACTGCTTACTTTTTACTGTTAAGTTACTTAAATTTTTGCGTGTACCATAACCCTTATTCTCTTAAACTGAAGAACATTAATATATGAAATTATATGAAACATTCAAAAATTTAGTTTTTTAAATCAGATTTTTCTCTTTTTTTTATCGTAATATTTCTTTGATTTAAATGAATATATATGTATTATATATATATCTTGGAGTAAAAGTACATAGTATAAAAAAGATGTTTTGCGATGACTTTTTCATTGCACCTTTCGTCATAAATATAAAACAAAATTGATTTTTATATAAATAAATTTATTTTTTGATCCAACAAGCCTCGGTTTCTCTTATATCTTTTTGATATAGAAATTGAAATAATCTTTAATGCATCTATTTCAATTAGAACGATAGTAGATCCGTATTATTCAAACACATGTAATTACTTACGCCTACTTATATATCTATGGGTTAATTATTTTCAAACGCTCCTTTCATGGAGCATTTCCGGATTACAAAAATAAAATTAATTCAATCGTTAATCAGATTATAGTCAAATGTATTACGCATATATCGATCCGACGTTAATTTCTAGTTTATACACTACGGGAATTCGTGTGGCGTTGATTAATCACCTTTGTAACGCCCAACGTAGAACGCATGCCGCACATTTGACTACGTGTGCTGTGTAAACATGCCGAATTATTAGGACTGCAATTAATTATGCGGTAAAAAGTAATTTATCGTCGCATTCCCAGTGGCGAAGTCCAATGAATGATTTATCGAACACTCTCTTGGAGAACAAAAAAATTAATAAAAAAAAAAAAACGCCGTTTAATTAGCCGCTTTGATGGTAACGAGCGCAAATTCGTAATCAAAAACCGCCATGTAGAATATGAAAAAAGAGTCGGCAATGCGTTATCGGCCAATTTTCGCTTCGAAAGGCAGCGCGCCGTATCAGGGATATTAATGAATTGAAAAAATCAATAGCACCGCTAAAGGATAAGCGTGAATCCCTTTTAGCGTTCCCTCGTATGGAAGTAATACGGTTCGAGACTTGTCTTGAAGTTCTTGAATGAGCAACGGCGAAACGGAGCAGCAATAAGCAACTTCGCCGAATCGTGCGATGGCCATTTAGCCGAGTGTTGAAAGACGGTGGCAGTAATTAATGAGGCATACGTAAAATCGAAGGGGAACTTAGGGAAAACTAAGTGAGCACGTGCGTTGCAACTCCCGCGCACCAAGAGAACTTGCGTTAATGAATCTTCTCAAGAAGAAGAAGCAACACTAGAACTGTAGAGAATATCTTCTAATTATTACACATAAATTATATATTTGCTGTAATAGATAAAAGATAAGTAATTTAGATACAATCGTCGATCGCGAATGTAAGAATTATATACGTACGTTTGGAAAAAGAATTTATAAATGTAATCAAAAGTTAAAATGTTATTAATCTCGCCAACTGTAAACAGTGTACTGATGAATTAATCTCTCTCTCTCTCTCTCTCTTTGTTTATTTTGTTATGCTTAGAAGAGATATCAGTTACATCGATGAATAAATGTGGTTTGCATGCTTACGAAATGTTGCATGTGTCATTTCATTTATTATCGTACTTTGTCTGATGTACATACAAGTTTATACAGTCTCTTAGCCTCCTATGTTATTTTAACTATCTAACGTAACATTCACGTTCACCACTGCATCGTGCACCATTTGCATAATTTAAGTCGCATATATCTTAGGTGTGCTGCGTAACGAGTGTATATGTATAACTCCCGTCGTTTCGAAAGATAGTTCCACAACTTTCCAACGTATTTTCTCGTTGGTTCCGATAAAGCTTTATAATTCATAATAGTTTATTCGGAGGGGGGGGGGGCATTAAGCGCTTTTATCATACGAATTAAACTGCCACAACGGACAAATTGTTAACACCGAGAAACAAGCATATGTTGAGAGCAGCCAGAGAGCACGAAGTGCACGAATTTACGAATTCTATAAACAGGATTATCTCATGCTAATAAATTCCTGAAAATCAACATTAATCTGGGAAAAGGCATAGGAAATGCGCTTCGCAAATGCCACGAATAGAATCAATCTCAGTACACCATCATTCCATTTCCGAAACTAGCAAAGCGGATTAACGAAGAGTTTCTCAATGAGAAATAAATGTAAAAATTATAAATTAAATGAGATAAAATATATAATCGTTACTTTATGGATATTTTTCTAAATTTATGTGCAAATTAGGTTGGAATGTTTCATCACATTTTCTATCACATATGGATAAATAAACTCATAATTTACGTACATATGGCTTTATACTGATCTAAATATAATTTGGATTTAATTCAGTAGTCTGATTTCTAATCTTATTATTGTAAATCAGTAGAATTTGTATATAAATCAAGTAAAATAAATTTAACATATATAAAAAAAAATTTAGCCAAAAGAGCGTAGAATAAAATATAAATAATGCAAAGTTAAAATACAATTGTTTTAATTGCTTAGCAGTTAGCATAAT